ACGAGCTGCGCGCGGTCCGGGGGCCCCTGCTGTACACCGCCCGCCCGCCCCAGGACCTCAAGGTGACACGCGTCCCCACTGGGTTTGCGAGTTGGGGTGTTCCTTTGTGTTTTCAGAAAAGTGCACGTGCCAGCGGTTGTGGCCGAGCGCCTCCCGGTGGGGCCCGCGCACCGAGCATGCTCCCCAGCAGCGTCGCCAGCGGGGCGCGTGGTCGCCTTGGAGAGCACGCTCTGCCGGGGAGGTTGCAGCTCAAAAGCGAGTTTCTTCACTTACTCACTGATTTCAAACCAAAAGTTTATGGTTTGGTCCCAATTGCCAAACCGCCCGCCGGGTCTGATTTTCGGGAGCTGCCCTGTTCTGCTGGCCTCCGCGCAGCGCGGGGTCACGGCACAGGGGTCCTGCAGCCCTGCCCGGCCGCCAGCACCTCTGCCTCCAGGCCCTGCAGCCTCGGAAACACCGCTGCTTGGGGGGCGGGTGCAGAGTTCAGCTCCGTCTCAGAAGCACTGGAGCGTTCGGGCGTTCGGGTCCCCAGGGACCTCTGAAGGCCCCATGGCCGCGCATGGTGCAGGCGGCGGGAGCGCTGTCCGCTGCGGGGCCGTCGCCACCGCTCCTGTCATCGTCTGGGCGGCCTGGGGGAGAGTGGGGGGCACTGGTGACCGTTCCCACGTGGGCCGTGCTGACCCAAGGCTTCCACCCCGAAGATCGTGCCCCTGGGGCGCAAAGAAGTGAAGGCCAAGGACCTGGTCCGGCAGCTGCAGCTGGAGGCCGAGGAGCACCGCAAGCAGAGGCGGCGGCAGACGGTCTCGGGCCTGCACAGGTGGGCGGGCGGGCGGCCGCAGGGGTGCTCCGGGCACCCGGCGCGGGCCCCCGTCTCCCTAGCTGCCGCCCAGGGGCCCCCGGGGTTCCCTCGCTCTGTGCTTAGGCGCTCCTGTGTGAGGGAGGGGGCGGGACTCTGAGACCCTGTCCCCTGGAAGTGCAGTGGCGCCTGTCCCCGGGGAGCGAAGCACGTCACCCACCAGCCCTGGCAAGGCCGGCTGCCAGCCTCGGCGTTGGGCCCAGGTCTCCCCCGGCTGGGAAACGTGCCCAAAGGCCCTGGGACCCACTGTCCTTAGCCCAGTTGCCACCCTGCCGGCGCGGGGCCCAGGCCACTCCGCCCCCATGAGCCCGTGGGGCGAGCCCTGGATCTCACTCTCGCGGGGGACAGGGCCCTGGTCTGGCCACTTTGACCTTCAGGCGCGTCGTGGCAGCTCTGCTGTGACAGGCTCCCCCCCACAGGTACCTCCACCTACTGGACGGAAAGGAGCAGTACCCCTGCCTGGTCGACGCCGACGGCGACGTCATTTCCTTCCCTCCGATAACGAACAGCGAGAAGACGAAGGTGGGCCGTGCCTGTGGGCGTCCCGGGGGCCGGCGGCCCGGGCGCGGGCGTGGGCACTGCTGGGCCTGGGGCGGGGCCGCGGGGCCGCCGGTCCCCGTGCGCAGAGCCAGGCGGGCGGTGTCCGTCCACAGGAGGCGGCAGTCTGGGCCGAGTGGCGCCGTTTTCTGAGATTTCCTCAGATTCCTTGTTGCAGTTGCTGATGTCTGCTTTTGACGACTCTCTTCTGAAATCTTTCTGATCACTTTTTAAGATTAAGAAAACGACTTCTGATTTGTTTTTGGAAGTAACGAGTGCGACAAGTCTGCAGATTTGCAAAGACACCATGGACGCCCTCGTTCTGGTGAGTGGCCGTGGGGACAGCGCGGGTCTGGGTTCGCTCTGCCCCCTCACGCAGCCGTCGGCGGCTGTCGGCGGCATGGCGCCGCCTTCCCTGGTCGCTTCCGCTCTCTAGAGTAAAAAGATGTTTTTCGCTTGCAGAAAATGGCAGAAATCAATAAATTCACTTTGGAAAATAAAGAGGAGGGATCTGTCTCAGACCCTGACACTGACGCCAGCCCTGGGCAGCTTCCGGACCCCAAGACAAGCCCCGGCGCCGAGAGAGATGGGGGCGCCCCGCTGGTGGTGGAGCAGGTGCGGGTGGTGGACGCGGAGGGGCGCCTGAAGGTGCTGTACCCGTCCAAGACGGACCTGGTCGGCTCCGCCCCCCACGTGGCCGTGCTCCGCTGAGCCCCCGGCCCACGCCGCCCGCTGCGGGGCCTGCGTGGGGCGGCTGACAAGTGCTCGCAACACTTCCCCCTCAGCGTCGTGTGGCCCTCTGCGTTCTTTGTCCAGTTTCCAGAACATTCTGCCGTAACGGTGTGCCATGTTGTCACGTGCTTACGTTTTCCCGCCTCTACAGCTTTGACTAAGGCTTTCGATGAAATTATTCCAAGTACCGGGATTCACTGTTCAGAACATTCTGAAATCACGTGGACCGGCCAGAAACTCTTGACAGGAAATGACACTCATGAGTTTGACGCTCAGTTCCAGGCCAAGATGCAGAGCAGCGAGCGCGTCCTCGGCCTTCCACGGCCCCGCCGCAAAGTGCGGCTCCAAACGCCAGTCTCGCTGTCCCTGTCCTTTCGTAAAACACTCGTTTCCGTCCGTCAGTTTCTTAATGTCGCCGTTGGCCGCTGAGGGGCGGAGCTGCGCCGCGGGGCGCCTTCAAAACCGTTTGCGAGTGAGCCCCGGTGACGCCGGTGAGCAGACGGTGGGACCGCGTCTTGAGGGAAAGACAGGTTTCCCTCCCAGGAGAGGCCCCCGTGGCCCGTGAGGGGCCAGGGACAGCGGTGGGGACCAGAGGGTGTGTCCGAGGCCGACAGTGCACAGCCTGTTACACTGTAGGAGCTTCCGGCTGTGGACGTCACGGCTGCAGACCCTCTGTGCTGTGTGTGTTGTGTGTGTGCACCCGCACGCGAGCCCCTCCCAGAGCCAGAACGTTCCTGGGGCCAGGGAGCCAGCGGCTGCTGAGCCGGCGCTTTGTGCTGGCCGCGCTGGCCACGATCTGGCCAGAAGATGAGTGGACTCCAGCTCTCTCGTTTCATAACACCGTTTATTCAGTGGTCTTTAACCTGCAGAGGACGATTGCCATGTTTTGTCAATTTATGGGGGGCATTCAGCCATTGGAACCAGGCGTGCGTGAGGCCTGGGACCCCACACGGGGGCCATGAGCAAAGTCCCATGGCTCCCCGAGCCCAGCCAGCCTGCTTTGCAGGGTGGGGGAGGGGGCACAGAGACCCAACCGGGTGTCCTCGTCTCCGCCGAGCCTCCTGTCCTGGTCCCCGGCTGGCGGAGGCGCACTGGGTGACAGTTTTCCCCAGCCCACTAGAAGACCACGGTGGGGTGCCAGTCTGGGGCCCTTGGGCACAGCTGGCGCGGGGCCCACGTGTCGCTGTGCAGCCCTGCCGGGCGCTCCAGGGGCAGAGCAGACGGCCAAGCCACCCTCCGGGCTCCCGGGCCTTGGGCCAGGGACCACACTGGCATCTGTGACCTCAGTGTTGGTGGCACCGCCAGCTCGATTCTGTGGGGTTGGAAATGGGGTTCACGTGCGGCAGACCCTCCAGGACAAGAGTCCCCTGTGCCCGCCCTGCTGTCTAATGAACAGAAACCGCACCCTGGATTTCTGGGGGCGGGTGCTGCGGTTGCCTGGGAGGAGGCAGCCCTGGGACCTGCCCAGTAACTACCGGCAGCCTCTCCTTCCTGCCCCCCGCCCCCAGATCCTCCTCTCCTGAACCTTCGGTGCCGGGAGGCCGACCCTCTCAGGGCCCTAAGGATGTGCCCCAGTAGATGGCTCTGGGGACCCAGGGGTCGTGTGTCATGGAGGTCGCATGTGCCCCTTGGGCCTCCAGCTTCCCCCACAGACTGGGCAGGGGCGCCACCACCCACTGGGGCGCACCCGGCTCTCCACCCTGAGACAGGGCCGCGGGGCGCGCCCAGGCAGCTCCAGCCGAACCAGCGTTGGCCTCTCTCGTCTGCTGTGGGTCCAGGGAGGAGGCTTTCACAAGGACCCCGGGGTCACCAGGTCACACTGGACAGCTGGCCTGTGATGCGGAAGCCTCAGGGTCAGCCCCCCCTCCAGCCCCCGGCAGGGGGCCTCACCCCAGGACCATGCCTGCTCACCACCCCTCCCTGCCCTGCCTACCCCCGCCCCCCACCTTCCCCAAGGCCAGACACATCTGACCCTGGGTCAGCCGCTGGCTCCGGCCCAGCTGCTCCCAGCAGCCCAGCAGCTGCAGAGGTTGAGGCCCTGGAGCCCGGGGGCAGCTGGGAAGTCGGGGGAGTGGTAGGCAGCCAGGGCTCCCTCCTCCCCACTCTGTCCTCCACACCCGGGGGGCGTTACGGCCCAGGAGAGGCTGGGCCCTGGCATCTTCAGAGGCAACCGGCAGCTTAGAGCCCACGGGGACCATGTGGCCTCCGCCCCACGGGGCTCTGGCACAGTGAGGCTGCTAGAGGTGGCTTGGCTGCACCCCTCTCCCCCCATGGGGCCAAAAGGGCGAGGTAGGGTCTCCTTGGAGGCCCCGAGACCAGAGTGGGCGAACCAGACCCTCCCGCCGCCCTGCAGCCTGCTTTTCTGGCGCCACTGGGGCCTGGGGCCCTGTCGGCCTCCCTCGGGCTCAGAGCCAGGGGTCCCCTGGCTGTGCAGCCTCACCTGGCAGCTGCCTGGCCCAGCCATACCTGCAGACCAGCCCCGAGGAGTCTCTGGCCCTCCCCACCTCTGCCAGCTTGGCCTGACAGCCCGTGAGGATGGTGACTGCCCCTCATCCCCCACCTTCAGCCCTACGGTGTCCCTGGCAAGGGTCCGCCAGCTGATACGTGTTTGCATAAGCAAGGGCTGAGCCGGAAGGCCCGTGAGGGCACCGCTGCGCGAGGAAGTGGACGGACCAGGCTTGTCTGCTCAGTCAGGCGAGGCAGGGACAGATCTGGCCACATCCTGGCCCGCAGGCCCAGCCAGGTGGGGCCACCCCTTCCCGCAGGCCTCCTGGCAGCTGCCCAGTGCCTCCAGTGCACCTCACAAGGGCCTGAGTCACGCCTGGCCTGGGGGCCCATGGGAGAGGCCATCATCCAAGTTCCTTCAATAGATGTTTAATGGCTGCTTTTAGGTGTGGCTGTCCTCCCCCGGCCCACAGCCCGAGAGGGGAAGACCCGGGCTGGGGGCACGGACCTCGGACGAAGGCCCTGGCCCCGTTCTGCCTGGGGAATGTCTTCCAGGAGGGGTCTCAGCCCTGGGAGGGAGGCCAGAGGGTCACACACAGGTCTCCTCAGAGCCACCAGTGCACACGGATGTCACAAGGCCAGAGAGGGCAGGGGCCTGCCCAGGGCCACCCAGCTCGGCACTACACCCTCCCAGGGAGGACCCCACCGCAGGGCAGCCTCGCCCGGCCCTCCCCACCACGGGGGAGACCGCAGCCCGGGCCCGACCCTGGCCTGCACCGCAGCCCCAGCTCCGGCTGGCCCCAGGTCTCCAGGACACAGGTGGCCAGTGCGGGCCATGGGCGAGTGTCCTGGCGTGCCCGTGCCCCCATGGAGGGGCTGGCGCGGGTGTGCCCACCGACACCTGGGAGTGTCCTGCATGCCGGGCGCCCCCCTGGGCCCTGTGACTGTGGGGAGGTACGGTGTATACGGGGAGGAGGGGCTCCGTATGCAAAAGTGACTCGTACGCCCGCGTCCCTCCCAGCCCGTGCCCCCGCTGGCACGCGGTCAGCACTTATTTGCACTTGTGTATGAAGTAGCCGGTGACGTAGCCCAGGATGAAGACGACCCAGAAGAGGGCCACTCCTCCCAGCACCTTCATGGTGACACCCAGCTTGCCGGAGCACAGCCTCCGGGAGAGCCTAGGGTGAGAACGGCCAGCACGTGAGCCCCAGGAGGGCCCGGGGCAGGCAGGCCTGGAAAGAGGGCAGGGAGTTGGGGGTCGGGGTAGGGGGGCTCTCTGCTGGACTTGGGGGCCAGGAGGGAGCTGGGCGGGGAAGGCCACGCAGAGGTGGAGGACCCGGGCTTGCTCAGGCCGCCAGGGCAGGCACCCGTCAGCGCGGGGCGGAGGCTGCAGGAGGGACAGACAGACGGGGCTGCAAGGGGTTGCACAGCCTATGGGCCCCCGTGGGCTGCTCACCCCTCGCAGCTCGAGGCCTCCTCCACGCCGGACGCAGCCCCCACGCTGACTTCCTCCCACCGGCTGTACTGCACACTGACATCCTGAGGCTGCATGCTGGCTCAGGGGCTGCGGGCCTTCGCTGGGCTCAGACCTCCCAGCACAGCAGGGCCCTGGCGAGGACAGTGACTGGGAGCAGGCGCTCAGGCGGGGGGCCCCTGAGGGCTGGGGGGGCCCCTGAGGGCTGGGGGCGGGCGGAGAGGCAGCAGGTGGGCTCGCTCCTTGACCTGTTCTCTGCCTGCCTGAGGCAGCCGGGCCCGCCATCCCCTGGGAGGGGTCAGAGGAGGAATTCCAACCCCAGGAGGCTGAAAGTCCAAGAACCCTCAGGAATGTGAGAGGCTAAGTGTCCACCCGCCCCGGCGCCTCCCCTCAGGCCAGGCCGATAACGCCCTCCCTTCTGCCCACTCCAGCAGATGAGGCCCTGGGGCGGCCGGGAGGCGGGGAAGGACAGGGCCGGGGGCTGCGCTGGGGCCGGGCGGGGCCGCCTGTCTGGTCGGGGGAGGAGGCCTGGCTGCCCCCCGCCCCCCGCCATGTCCTCTGGCCTGTAGCACCCTAGTCCCATCCCACCACCCTTGCAGGGGGGCCAGAGCTTGAGGGGCAGCGGGGCCCACAGAGCGGCCGGGGCAGGGGTGGTGGGCAGCAGCGAGCCCCTCACTTCCGGGGCCAAGGCTTGGCTCCATCGCCGCCAGCCTGGGAAACGCTGGCCTTCATCCCGGTCGTCTTGGACACAGAGGCTTAGGAGCACAGAGGGCCCCGAGCCACACGCAGGGAGTCAGCCGGAGAGGCCACTACCCTGGTGTCTCCAGCCCCCTTCCAGGCCTTCCAGGGCGTCCTGTTCCAGTGCGAGGGCGCGGGGGGGGGGGGGGGGGTAGGAGGAAGGGGAGGGAGCCTGCCTCTAGGCCACAAAGCCTGTCCGTCCAGTGGGGCCTTGCTCCCTGGCAGCCACCCAGAACAGTCCTCGGCCCAAGGCAGGCTGGTGCGGGGAGAGCGTGGGCTCCTCCTCCCCAGGGCACCCAGGAGAGGGGCCCCAGGCCCATGCGGCGCCCTCCCTGCCTCACACCCACCCCTCCCAGCCCACGGGCAGAACCCTGAACTCGTTCCAGGTCCCAATGTGCCAGCGCGGAGCGGTGGCCACAGGCTGAGACAAGCTTAATGCCCTGGTCCCTACTTCCCTGTGTCACCTGGCAGTGGGCAGGGCCCTGGGGGACATGTGAGGGGTGCAGCAGGGGATGGAGAGGCTTTCACTTTTGGGAGGGAAACAGCAGCCACCTCCTCCATCCTGCCTCGATGTGATGGCTGGAGCTGCAGCAGCTGCCTTGTAACCAGAGTCCCCCATCTCCGAATCCACAGCCGCTGCCCCCTGCGGGCTGCTCAGTGTGAAGAGGGTCAGCCCCAATCGAGTCAAGCCTCGGGCAGTGGGTTCCTGTCATTTGCAGGGGGCATGTTCCCGACGGACGCAAACTGCTGCTCTCAAGCCACCGAGGTTAGTCAAAGCCGCCAGAAGCTGGTGAGGTGCCTCCAGCGGGCCCCCAAGGGCCTCCCTGGCTCCGTGACTGTCTGTCGGCCCCACACAATGGCCACACTGTGTCCCCAAGGCCTGGGGCTGTGCTGCATAGCAGTGACACCTACCACACCCTGGGCGCCCCTGAGGTCCCACTGCCTCCTGGGGGCCTGCAAGGGCAGGCACCCTGCGTGCCTGAGAGCCCTTCACCCCCAAAGCGCCTCTGAGGAGCCCACAACTCACAAAGAGAGAGTCCTGGCCAGGGCCTGGGCTGTTGAAGTCTCTGGGGCTCAGGCGGACGTTCAGAGCCTGGCCGGCGGGCCTCCCCTCCTCCCAGCCTGCAGGTTGGTGTCCTAGGTGCCACCGACGGGTCTGACCTTTAAAAAAAAGGAAAAACAGGTGAAGAGAAGCGGCCTTGCCAGGGGTCGCGAAGGGAACGGGCCCCCGGGTGTCTCCAAGCGGCTCACGTATGGCCACCCCTTGCAGGTCAGGCCCGGGTATCTGTCAGGCGGGGACAGCCGGTCGCCCCCAACCCCACTGCTGCCCCGACCCCCACCGCGCCAATCCCACGGTCCCAGGGAGGCGGCTGCAGGCCAGGGAAGCAGAGGCCTCCGAGGGCTGGGGGCTGCTGCAGCAGCCGAGGCCACCCCTCCCCGCTCCCACGCCCCCAGCCCCCGGGTACACGAGGAGGCTGCACCCCGATCTCGCGTCTCACCTGGCGCAGACTGGGCCTCGGCGCGGAGCGGCGCACGGAGCCTGGGCGACGGGAGGCTTCCGCAAGGCAAACGGGCTTGGGGAGGGGCGAGGCCAGGCAGGGAGAGGGAGCAGAGAGCCAGCGGGGGAAATCCCGGCCAGGCAGGGGCCTGGGGGCGGGCCGGGGGCGGGGCCGCGCGGGGGGGCGGGGCCGGGCCCGCGGCTGCGGGCGGGCGCCGGGGCGCCCGCACGCTGCTCCCCAGGACTCAGACACGGCGGGGTCTTCGACCCCTCCACGCTGGTGCAGCCCCGGGCTGGGTCGGGCGCGAGCTCAGAGCGAGGCTCCGGGGCGCCTGGGTGTGAACGGAAGGACCGGGCGCTGGGCTGGGGCGACGGGCGGCCTGCGCCCTGGGCCGGTCACCCCGGCTCCTGGCTGCGAGGGGCCGGAGGCCGCGGCGACCGAACTCCGCGCGGTGCTGCCCCGGTGCAAGGCAGGCGGGTAGGCGGCAGGGCGCAGAGCAGAGAGAAATGCCCCGCAGCCGCCTGCGCGCAGCACATGCCCCGTGCCCAGGCCTGGGTGAGGCCGCGCCAGGCTGTTCGCTCTCCTGGGGCTCTCGTCACAGCGGTCCCGGGCCAACAGCGGTGCCCGTCCCCGCCCGCACTCTTCCGAGCGGTGGCAGCCAGAGCCCAGGCAGGGAGCCCCGGTGGCAGGGGCGCAGACGGGTGTGGCAGGGGAGGGCGGACCGCGGCGGGTCCGTGAATGAGGTTGGGGGGCCTCCTCAACCGGGGCCTGCGGGAGGGGACCCTGCTCAGTGTGGGGGTCCCGCCAGGATGGAGCCCGCGGTGCAGGCTGGTGTGCTGACCCCCAAAGAGTTTTGGAATTGGGGGCGGTGTCGAGGTCGCCCCAGCCCGCTCCTCCCACCGCAACCCTGGGTGAGTCCCCGGGGAGGAAAAGGTGACACCGTGGCCAACGACAGGGTTTAATTCTGAGTCAGAGCGCAGAGTGCAGAGCTGGGCGCGCTGGTTGGGCCCCCGCCGCGCGGAGGGCCTACTTGGAGGCCACCTTCTTGGTCTTGTTTGGGGAGAACTCGGACTGCGGCGCAGCGGCCGTTTTGACCCCTCGCTGCCTCAGCTGGTTGAAGTAGTCCGCCCTCTCTAAGACGAGCCTCTGCGGAGGAAGGCAGGGGGCCCGGCTGCCCGGCCACACACCCCGGCAGACCCACCCTGTGCCCCCCCAGGGGCAGCTGCCGCGGCTGTGCCGTGCGGGCGGGGGCGGGGGGGCCGGAGGGGGCTCCGGCCCGCAGCCTTTGCCCCTTTCTGTGCTGACAACTCTCCCCTCTCCGGACTCTGGGGCAGCTCAGCCCTGACGCAGCGCTGCGTCCACTGTAACTCAGAGGCCTCTGGACCTCAGGGCCCTCCGTCAAGGTCCCTCTGTCCCACACCGGGAGGCTGCCCCTTCATGTCCCTAAGTCTCCTTCTTGGCCCCTGGGTGGTGCGGATGACCCCTGCCCGCCAGCGGCCCTCCCTCCCCCTTTCTCCTCCTCTGGCCTCTCCTCTCCCTCCCCTCACCTCTGTCCCTCCCTTGGCCCAAAGAGCAGCCAGGCCACAGAGGCCTCTCCCCAGGCCCCCACGCGGGGGCGCCCCTGCCCCTGAGGACTGTTGCCACCGGACAGGAGCAGCGTGGACCGGGAGTCACCGCCGTTTCCAGAGCGAAGGAGCCAGGTCTCAGGCCCAGCTGGGCAGAGCTGGGGGCAGGCTCCTGCTTCGGGACAGCGGTCAGGACCCCCGCCGCCCGGCCCCTCCCCAGCGCACCCTGGAGGGCTTGCTTCAGGGCGCTCCCTCGGTGCCTAGAGCAGCCTGGCCTCTCCAGCCCTGGGCACCACCGCCAGGTGGCGCCTGAGTGGAGAGGACAGTGCCAGGGTCGCGGAGCGGTGACAGCCAGGACCCGCAGGGGCGGCCCCAGTCCCCACCCAGGCCTCTCCCTCGGCCGAGGCTGCAGAGGTGCATGGTCTGGGTGCCCAGGACCCCGAGACAGAGCGCGCTGGCCGTACCTGCAAGGCTTCCAGGATGTCGCTGTCAGAGATCTCAGTGGCCAGGGACTTGATCCCTGAGGTGCCGAAGGTGGCCTGGATTATCTTGTTTCTTAGCCTTTCCAGCTGCAAGCAAAGCACAAATGCCAGCGCTGGCCTTGGCGGAGGGAGGGGCGGCCACGGCCCCCGACAGGGAGGAGCCTGCCGCCCCGGCCGAGGGTCCCCAAAGCTGGGAAGGAGGGCTCCCCTTGCCTCCCGGCTTTGGGCTCAAGGATGGAGGCAGAGGGTCACCAAGGGGCGCTGAACACGAAGGACTTTCTACCGCACCAGCTTTTTAAAGTGGAAGGGGAAACGTGAACACAGTTTTAAAAACTAATTTATAAAATAATGAAAGGCTTGGAGCGAGCCCCCGCCCCTTCCCCAGAGGAGCTTTGGGCCCTGGCTCCTCCGAACCCCAGGGAGACCCTCGCTGACTCAGCCGGGCGCCCTGCACGCCCACCGGCCCTCGCTTCGGGCATTTAAGAAAGCTCCTGGCGCACCACCCCCGCCCCCGCCCCGCTTGAACTGAAGGCCGGCGGAGCCCTGGAGCTCCGGGCAGCCCAGGGTCGGGGGCGCGAACCCGGGACTGAGTGCTTTCCAGGGCCACGCGGGCCTGCTGCTCGGCGTGCTGCGCCGCCTCCGTCTTGCTCTGCAGCGCCTCCCGCAGATGCTGCCACCTCTGCAGGTGGCCCTGGCTCTGGTTCACCTGGGCCTCCAGCTGGCTCGCCTTGGCGTTGGCCTCGGTGAGGGCCTGCTCGCGCTTCAGGAGCTCCCGCTCCAGCTCCCACACTTGCTGGGGTGGGGCGGGGCGGGGCGAGGGGCACAGAGGAGCTGTGGGCCCACAGGCCACCCCTGCACTCCTCCCCGCCCCCCAAGACAGCCAACTTCCCCCGAGTTCCTTAGGGCAAATCCGAACCCAGCGCCGGAGCGGGGCAGAGGGGGCGCTGCCGCAGGGAGAGGCCCGGCCCCGCCCGGAGGGGCCCGCCAGTGCCGCTTCACCTGTTGGAGGAGGAAGTTGTCCTTCTCCATGAGCCCCACCAGCTCGTCCCCCTTCTTTTCCTCCCGGAGTCTGGAGAACTGGAAGAAAGACAGACGGGGTGGCTCAGGGGACCCCAGGCGGAGGTCCCGGGGGGGCCCAGCGTCTGACTTCTCCCTCCCTGAGGGGTGTTTCCGGTGAGGGTGGAGGAGAAGGAGAGAAGGATAACGATACGCCGGGGCGTCGGGAAGCAGAGCCCAGGACCCGGGGCCCTGCGACAGCAGCAGAGGGAGCCGGGGACACGCCGCGCACACCTGCACCCGCGCAGAGGGGCCCCAGCGCTGGCCCAGAGGTGACACGGCGGGGCCGCGGGGCTGAAGGTTTGGCTGCCCCCCAAGCTGAGCCGCCAGTGGCAGGGCCCGAGCCCGGGGCTCGGGGGGCCCGGCCTGGGAGATGCCCGGCTCGGTTGAGGGTGGAGACCCCAGGCCCCGGACAGGGGTGTGGGCGCTGAAGAGAAAAGCAACGCGCTCCTCCCCCACGGGGGGCCCGGGTGCGGGCAGCGAGGCCTTGGGTCCAGGCAAGCCGGCCTTCCCGCTCCCGGGGTCCGGGGAGCCGACCCCACCAAGAGGGAAGGCCCGCAAGTTCTCCTCCTGAGCCCTCGATCAGAAGTGCCACCGGGCATCCTGACGTGGGAGCCCAGTTCTCCCATGAACGACAGAGACCCAAACAAACGGACAAGGGGGACTTGTAGGAAACAGAAATGACGTGAGAGGGTACAACTGAGGATGATCGCGGGCGCCCGGTGCGGGGAGAGAGGGCGCCGTAGAGGAGAGACAGAGGGCGGGCTTCCGGGGGGCAGGGGGGAGAGGAGCATTCGGAGAGCAAGGGGCAGGCCGTGGACATCGCGACTGCTGTTGCCACAGCCAGACTGCGGGGGGCGCTGGGTGAGCCAAAGGGCTGTCCTGAAAGGGGAGCAAAGCCGCGAGACGTGGGGGGAAGACACAGGAAGGAAAGAGAGGACCACAGCGTGGGTCCGCTGGCCGCACGATGGGGCCCCCCCGGCGGCCCGGGGGGAGCGAGGAGGAGATGGCAGGCCATGCGAACAGAGGAAAATCCCAGAACGAGCAGATGGACACGGTTTCCAGCTGGCGCCTCAGGGCCCAGGACGGTGGACCTAGACCCTCAACAAGAGGCAACTTTGTGAAGTTTCAGAACAGCGGGGAGAATCTACACAGGACCTCCCACCCGTCCAGAGGGGGAGCGGCCACCACCAGGAAGTCGTGGGAACGCACAGGAGTTAGGGCGGCCTTGGGCTTCCCGCCCGCAGCCGCGGGCTCGGGGACTCGGGCACGGGGAGCTGCGACCCGTCACCCTGGTGCGGGAGCACTTTCCAAGCGGGGACTCTGCAGCCAGCCCAAGTGCTGATGCACAGAGCGAAGGCCTGGCAGGCTCGCGGCGCCCCAGGGCTCGCCCTCACGCCCCTTTACTCAAACACAACAGGAGGATGCTCCCGCGGAAACCGCAGATCAAGGAAGAAGAAGATGCGGGCGCAGCAGTTGCCACAGGCGGTTTACAGAGGGCAGTGCTGGCCACAAACCTGTTTCAGTTCTGCGTGTGCTACCAGCAAACGCAGCCTCGCCTCACCTCACTGACGTTGATGGGCCAGTGTGAGGGGGTGGGGCAGGGGGAGGCGGAGAGAGATTCCTAATGAGCTCAGTCGCCTTCGGGGGAAGGGGGAGGAGGAGGGGGGAGGGCAGGACACCCCTGTCAGCATAACAAGACTGTGGGACGTTGGCTCTTCAGGCCGCACGGGCAGAAGACGCCTATGGAAATATGGGCTAAAATGCCTCACAGGGAGCGGGCTCAGCAGAGCGGAGACTCTCTGAGCATGGGGGGGACCCTCACCCCGGGGCGCGGGGGCCCAGAGGCCCAGGAGGCAGGGTGACTGGGGCCAGAGGGCAGCACGGGTGTGGGGTCCCCGCTGTGCAGCCCACGCCGCCTCCATCTGCCCAGCGACCCTGGGCGAGTCCCTTCTGCTCCCCAAGTTCGGCGTCTCCGGCGGCGGAACAGAACAGCGGGCGCCTGCCCTGGAGCTGCCCCCCCCCGCCCCCGCGTGCGTAAGGACGCGGCCACCTTGTCGGTCATGGCTTGCAGCTGGTGCTTCCGCTCCCGAAGCTCCTTCTGCAGCAGCTCGTTTTCCGTGTTGACCCTCTGCAGCTGGGACTCTTGGTGGTCCACTTGTCGTTGTAAAGACACGCAGGCTCCTGAGTGGGCGGCGGGAAGGGCGGGGAAGGGCTGACCAAGGCCGGGGCGGGGCTGGGGCCACCGGTCACAGCCGGAGGGCTCTGACCCCACCGCAGCTGCCCTCCGGCTCCATCGGCACCCGCTGCCCTTCCCCAGGGCTCGCTGCCCAGCGGAGCAGGGTGGGCCCCGGCCGTCTGGCGGGCGCAGCGGGGGGGCCTGGACACCCCCACTGCCCAGCCTGGGGTCGGGGGCCGGTGCCACCTTGCGTCCGGTAGCCTCCTACCTGTTGCCAGGGAATGCCTGATCCTGGCCACCTCGAGCTCAAACTGGAGCTCCTGGGTCACCTGCTCGTACTCCTGCAGCTGGGCCATCAGCTCCTCCTCGAAGTCCTCGTCCCGGGACCAGGTCCGCCGCCTGATGCCCTCCCAGTCCTCCGGCGCCTCCTTCTCCTCCATCAGCTCCAGCTCCGCCTCCTCCTTCTCCTCCTCCTCCTCCTCACCTCCCTCCTGGCCTGCAGCCTTCGCAGCAGCAGCCGCCGCCGCCTTCTCCGCCTCCCCCTCCAGGCCCTCTTCCTCCTCCGAGTGCCTGGCTCTTTGCCCCGTGGCACACTCCTCCTGCACCTGGGGGCGGGAAGGGACACAGGGCTGCGGGTGCCGGGGGCTGCGGGGTCATATTCAGGGACGGTCTGCAGCGCCGCGCCCCACACTTCACGTGTGTCCCCAGCATCGAATCGGGCTGCAGCCTCAGGCAAGAAAATCCGGTCTTAGAAAGAGCAGGGGCTGCCTACCGGGGCCTGGGCCTGCCTTGTCCTGCCCTCCACCCAGACCTAGGGAGGGGCCGCGTCCCTGAGCCCATCTGACAGATGCAAGGGCGCAGATGCCCCATGTCCTGCCGTCGGGACAGGGCCAGGCCAGGCCTGGGGACTCCGCCTGCAGGGATCCTTCCCTCCTAGGATGGTGGAGCTGACCCTCATCTTACAGGTGGGGATGCTGAGGCCCGAGAGCGCCACAGCCTGTCCCCGGGGGAGAGCAAGCCAGCGGCAGGACGCAGGCGGGCTGTCCAGTTCATGGCTCTTCTTTAAAAAAATTCTACTTACTGCCCGGGCTGGTGGGGCGCAGTGGATTGCACACCGGCCTGCGAACCAAAGGGCCTCTGGTTCGATTCCCAGTCGGGGCACGGGCCTGAGCTGCAGGCCAGGGCCCCAGCGGGAGGGTGTGCGAGAGGCAACCACACATGGATGTTTCTCTCCCTCTCATTCTCCTGCCCTTCCCCTCTGTCTAAAAATAAACAAGTAAAATCCTAAAAAAAAAAAAAAAATTACTTTCTGATTTGAGAAAGATGGAGAGAGAGAGAAACATTGCTTTGCAGTTCCACTTATGTATGCTTTTCTGGTAGACTCCTGCGTGTGACTGGGGGCCGAACCAACAGCCTGCGGTGCCGGGACAACGCTCTCCCCGGCCCAGCCCGGCCTGAGCCACTTTTCTGCATCGCAGCCCCGTCTCCCCTGCTCGGGACCTGGCCTGTTGCTCCGGACCCTGAGACCCAGCCCGAGCTCCCCCAAGGGCTGGCTGTCTTCCAGGATGGCGGGACGGTGGCGGGGGCACGGTACATGCCAGGGCCCTGAGGGTCCTCAGGAGACGCGGACGCTCTGGAAGGAGCGTCCGCATCGGGCCAGGGCCGGCGGCACGCGTGTGCTCTGCTCACCTTCGTGCCCTGGCACACGGGCGCCTCAGGGCCTCTGCTCTGGAGGACGTCCCTCAGCTGCTTCTTCAGGGCCGCTTGCTCCTCCTGCAGCGCCAGGATCTCCTCGTCCTTCTTCTGAACCTGCGTCTCCAGCTGGGAGAGACGCTGCACCTCCTCCCCCAGCGTGGCCAGGCAGTGGTCCTGGGCAGAACACGGGGCAGCCCTGTGAGCCGCCCAGCCACCCTCGTCCCCGCCCCCGCCCCCTGCCGGGCAGCGGCTCCGACCCAGGAGGAGCAGGCCTGCTGTCCGGGGGCCCCGAAACGCCAGCCCAAGATGGGCGCTTCTCAACGCAGCCACTCCCTGACGCAGGGCTGCCCTCGAACCCTTGCCCAGGGAGGTTGCCGGCAGCCAGCCCTTCAGCCCGGCAGCCGGCCAGCTGCCCGCTGTGATGGAGGACGCCGGTCTGCCGTGCAGCCCCCCCTCAGCAGTCACCCCCTCTGAGGGCCACCCCAGGCGCCTTCGGACCCTCTACCTCCCGGGCTCAACACCTCGATGCCCTAGATTCTCCAAAATCAGAGACACAGTACAGGGCAGGGGGTGGGGGGTTGTTCACACAGGAAGCAGAAAGGACGTGTCCCTGGCAGCCTTGAAGTTAGCGAGACTAAAGAGCATTCTTCAGGCAGGAGGCAGAGGGTCCCAGACAGGATGCTGGAAAGAAAGGTAACTAGAAAGTCCTCCAAGGTTTGCAGATTAAAGGAGAGGCTTCCACACAAGCCTTTTTGTGAGTCAAAGAAGAATTCACCAAGGAGTCAGGGAAAATTTTTAAACTGAACAATAATGAACACTTGGACATAGTGAGACTGGGGGGTGCAGCTAAAGCTGTAACCAAGAGCAAATTTATAGCCTTAAAATGCCTCTATCAGAGAAAACAATGGAAAACAATTATGTAAGTATCCACCTCTAGAACTCAGAAAAAGACTGCAGATTAAACGTAAAGAGGGAAGAGGCTAGTACAGGTAAGTGCGAGAATGAACACTGCCGCGAGGGACAGGGGGCGAGGAGAGGGCAAGCCGGTGCGGCAGCACCTGAACATCTGGAGAACCTGAGGGCATGTGGAATTAATGTGCTGCTAGGGTGGAGGGAAAGAACAGTCACGCAGACATCACGCGTCCTCGCCTGGCCTGGGTGACCAAGATGCGCGCGTGTCCCGCACCAGACAGTGGTCACCGCAAAGAGGGCGCTCGCTCCCGCCGGGGCGCTGCATGGGCACGGCGCGAGGGGAGTGGAAGCCCCAGGCTCCCACCGCCGAGCTGCCGGAGGCCGCCACGCCCACAGCCCTTCCCCACAGGCTCACATGCCTGGGCTGAGGGTCCCTTCCGCCGTCTGAACAAAACGCAGCGCTGCAAAGAACGCCCTGGCGCTGCCTCTGTGTGACTCTCCCTGGCTACGCCATCCGGCTCGTTCCCTGAAATGGAATTGCTCGGCCAACGGGCAGCAACACTTCCGAAACTATGAAATCTACCACCATACGCAGAGGCGGCATTTAGGAAATCAGCGTCAAGCGTGTACGCGCAGACCCACACTCCACCGGTGTGTCTAACTCCTATTTATTATCATTGTCACTAAGTGTTCACCATCTTAAAAAACAAAACAGAAGCTGCCCTGGCTGGTGTGGCTCAGTGGACTGAGTGCAGCCTGCGAACTGAAGGGTCGCCGGTTCGATTCCCACTCAAGGCACATGCCCGGTTGTGGGCCAGGTCCCCAGTACGGGACGCACGAGAGACAACCCATTGATGTTTCTCTCCCTCCCTTGCCCTCTCTCTAAAATAAATAAATAAATAAAATCTTTAAAAAAAAAAAACAGAAGCTAATTCTAAGAAAAGACTATGAACAGCGATAAACTTCTAGCAAGACTGATGGAGCGAAAGAGAGAGATGTGAGTTAGCAAAGCGGAATCTCCCACAGGTGTGGGGAGGATAAGCCTGCTCAGCCCAGGGTTAGGTGAATACATTTGAAAATTCACATAAAATGGACACATTCCTAGAAAAACATAGCTAACCCAAATGGCAGCAAGAGGAAAGAGGAAGTCTGACTATCTTAACTATCTTAAAGTATCAAATTTGTTGTAAACTCTGACCCTGTAAGATACCCCCAGACACAGATTGCCACAGCGATGAATTCTTCAGAACTTAACAAAGAAATAACTCCAACCTTATGCAAACTCTTTCAGAGAGAGAGAGAAAGAAAGGCGGGGACTGCGCCCCACCTTCTCCTGGTCACGAGGTCCGACTAACCGTGACACCGCCGTCAAACAAAGGGATTCCAAGGCAGACAGCGAGTGGGCCAGGCGCCCTCAGAAACGCAGGGGGAAGACCGACTTGGCAGGGAACCGACTCGTGGGTCAATCTCTGCATTCTGAGCCGATCCGCCCTGTTTCTACGAGAATGTTCTCCCAAGTTGGGCGACTGGGCACGAAGCTGGGTAGGGGCGGAAGGTCAGGATCGCGACCGCGGGCTGCACACCAGTGGGTAACGCCACCGAGGCTTCAAGAGCCACCCTCTGCGCTGAGGATGGACAGGGGCCGGAAGGCTTCTGAAGCATCTGACTCACAGATGCCAAAGGTGGGGCCTGGAGATCATTTAGACCCCGTGTGGGGACGCTGCGCGCCCAGCTAACTGGTTCTAGAACAGGGCCCCGGGCACGGGCAGGGCAGCCTGTCCCACAGGGCGCAAGCTGGGGTGTCAGGGCGGGGCCCACGCCCAGGGCCTGCGCTCGGCGGTACCTTCTCGTGGATGACCCAGAGGTACCAGGGAATCTGCCTCCTCAGGTGGCGCTGCCCCATGATGTGGCTGCTGGCGACCAGGCTCAGCGCTGGGGACTCGCTCTTCTTCCGAAAGTAATTGAACTCGCAGATGCTCTTACTAAAGGGAAGGAGGGGCCCTGTCCAGAAGCAGGGGCATCATCAGGCTCTTCCCACCTGAGCGGCCCTGGCGTCTTCCACCCCTGCCTCCAAGGGCCCCTCCGAGACCCTCCCGCCCCCAGCTGGCTCTGCCACGCCTCCAGGCCACGCCCTGTTGTCCTTCCGGACCCCGGGCCCAGTGTCTACTGACCAAGTGGAGGGACGCACAAAGCCAGGCTCCCAGGGCCTGGGGGACAGCAGGGCACGGTCATCCTTGGGCTGCCTGTGCACAGGTGGCCCTGGACCCTTGCCCGGGACCTTTCATATTCAGGACAGGTGTGGATTTCATGTTTGGATAATGAGAATAAGTGTCTTTGTCTGCAGGAAGGGTGCCGATCGGCCTCTCGACGCAGGGAGGGGTGCGTGCCAGGGCCTCCTGCGTACGGACGCGGGGCCGGGCAGGGGTCCCGGGAAGTGGGTCCCCTGGAGCGGGAGCGGGCAGCCCCGGGGGGCGGGGGCCCCGGCAGGTGCAGGCCGAGGCCCTCAGGGCGTGGGTGCCAAGGAGGGGCCCCAGTGCCCCGCAGGCCCGCCCTCACCGTCCACCTTCATGTCCGGGTCCTGCTGGCTGGAGGGGGGGTCCTCGGGCCTCTTCGAGTCCTCGGAGTCCAGGGGCGCCGCCGCGGGCCAGGCCGCTGTGGAGTCTGACCCTGCGGAACCTTAACAACGCCGGCAGGTGACCAGCGCGTCTTCCCGAGGCCTCCGGGCAGGCATGTGTATGTCATTTTTTTTAAAGGTCAGGTAGGATGCAAGGGGACTTTTCTCAGTAGCCGTGTGGGACCGAGCCCTGGGACCCCATGGAAACACGGCTGCGACTGCCGCCCGCAGCTCGCGTGTCCGCCGAGACCCACCCGGTGCGACTTAATTTTTGCAAAGCTCGGGGCCCAGCGCAGAGCCTGGACGGGCCCGCGGGGTCCTGGCTGAGACCCCCGGACAGGACCCCCGGTGCTGGCTGAGGGCATCGCCGTCTCGCAGGATGGCGCCGCGCGTGGGACAGGGGGCCAGCCCAGGCCCCGAAGCCGCGGGCCTGGGGTGACGCCCAGCCTGGCCGACGCTCCCGCCACGCTGTGCGCCTTGCGCCTGCTGCCCTCTTGACCCTCAGAGCCCGTGGGTCAGACCGGGCGGTGGCTGAGGCCCCTGCCAGGCCCGTCGGTGGTCCCGACGTCCTCAGCTCTGCGCTTCACAAGGGTTGGCTTGTCGTGGGCTATCTCTGGCCTTACGGACCTCCTTCCTGAAGCTTCCAGAACCTTCCACCTTCTCCCTCTTTCCCACCCCAACCCTACTGAATCCCTGGTGGGTGAGACACCAAGAAGCAAGAGGCTGGGAAACAAAACCCGGACAGTAAAGGGGGCAGACGGTCCTTTCCTCCCCCGCCCTCCTTCCATTGCGCAGCAACGGACAGCGATTTCAGAAGCAGGATGACTTCACGAAGGCCTGGCTCCAGCAGGGAAGGGGGCGTTTTCTCGAGGGCCCTCGGAGGTGGCTCTCACCACAATTCGATGTGGATGTGGCGCGGGAGCAGAACTGGGGGCAGCCCGGACGCTTGAGAAACACCCTCCGCATCTCCTCCATCTCTGACATGAAGCTCCTGTCCTCGGGGCCGGTGTCCAGCGTGGCCTCTCTCTGGCCGCACTGAGGAAGGAGACAGGCACGGAGAGAAAGAACCGGGCGTCACCAGGGCCTTGTCGTGTGGGCCCCTGGCCGTGGTCTGTGCCCTCCCCCTGCAAACCGCAAGCTTGCCGACGGCCCCGCGGATGGATGGGCTCCAGGAGCCGCGGTGACCGTCTGTGTAGAGAGCACCCAGGGGCCGGGGGCTCCCCCGTCTCCCTCAGCACGTGGGAAACGCATGCACCCTTCCTGCGTTCTCTTCTCCCCCTTCGCCCCTTCAGGCCCCCCGCAGAAGGCTGTGGGGCGCACCGCGTCTTCTCCCCGTCCCCAAAACTCGCTCAGAGAGCTCCGCGGGCAGCTCCCGCAGGCCTTTCCCAGGCGGATCCTCTCCAAGGCCCCGCCGGCCCGCACCTTCCTCCAGCAGACCCAGTCGGTGGCCCGAGCCGACTTGCTGAGGGAGGGCTGCTTTGGGCGGACTTTCCATTCTGGGGCTTGGCAGTCCCGGCTGCCCGTGCTCTTGACGACCGCCTGTCCCTTCTCCATCGAGTTGGCAGGAGACTCGGCTTGTGCGGCCTGCTGGCTCCTAGAGGCCATATCAGGAGGGCGGGACAGGGGACCCAGCTTCGCCCTTGAGTGACAGCTTAGCGGACGGCTCCAGTCGACGTCGAGGGGGACGCGGCCCCAGTGTGGGCCTAACCCTGGCCCAGGTCAGGACCAGACCAGCTTCCCAAGCTCCGCATCCTATGGGATCCTGGGAGCAGCGGACGGCATCACAGATGTCTCCATGGAAACAGAGCAGGACACTCATCTTAATTTCCTGAGTCTCATCTTAATTTTTGACTGGGCAGGTGCTCCAGAAGCTGCTTCTGCTGGACTCGGGGCGGTGGCTCGAGGCGTTGGCAGCTGATCTCCTGGGTTTTTGTTTGTTTTTCTTTTCCATCACCAGCGTTCCACCTTATGTAAAATCCGGCACTGGGTCAGGGGCCCTGATATGAAAATTAGATGTCCTGGGTTAATGCGCGCAATGTAGAGGCATTTCTTAACACCTGATACTGTCATTCTTTTTAAAACATAGAACCAGGCCCTGGCCGGTGTGGCTGGGTTGGCTGGAGCGCCACCCCGTGCACCGCAAAGTTGCGGGTGTGACCCCAGGTCGGGCACAACGCCAGGGGTGTGGGTTCGGACTTCGCTGGGGCCGTGTGCGGGAGGCAACCGACCGAAGTTTCTCACGTCGACGTTCCTCTCGCTCTCTCTCAAATCAATGAATGTATCCCTGGGTGAGATTTTAAAAAATAGTAAAAAGAAATAAAAAATAGAACTGGGGTGGAGAGGGGAGAGATGTTCTGTGGAGAAACGTTCGCTGTGGTCCCCTTGAAACCTCACCGTCCCAGATTCTTGGACATCAGGCCTCGGGCTGGCCAAGGCCGCAGGAAGGGGCGGCGAGCCTCGCGGCCGGGGCTGCCCGGAGAGCTTCACCACGGCCGCTCCGTGGTTTTCAAACTGCAGTGAGAAAAGACAAAACAAAACCAGGCACAAGACGCCCCGTCGTGTGTGATTACATCGATAGGACGTGTCCCGAGCAGGCAAGTCCAGAGCGAGACCCACACGGCGGGCCCGGGGGCTGGGGGCAGGAGGAGGGCCACGGGCTCTCCCTTTGCGGGAGGTGAACGCCCTGGCTCTAGACGGCGGCGGTGGCCGCACAGCGTTGTCAACGCACTGCCCGCCCCTGATGCGCACTTTAAAATGGTGATTTTTATCTGATTAAGAAACCCCAGTAGCTGTCCTAAGTATTACATCTACCTAACCTACAATGTGATACATTTTCCTTTTAATAGTATTTCAAAGGAATGAAGAGAAGGGGTCTCCTGGGCTCACACGTTCGCCGCAGCCCGACAAGCTGCACAGAGCAGGTCTGGCAGCGCAGGTCGGGCGGCGGCGGCCTCCCGGGCGCCCTTCCAGGACCGGCGTTCTCGAAGGGTGTTTCTGTGAGAATTGACCAATAAAATACACCAGACCGGTGGAGCACATGGCACACTACATTCCTCCTGGCCTGTGCGAGCCTTCAACAGCTTTCCTTCCATCCTCCCTTCCCCTGACGAACACCAGCGTCGCCCCATGTCCGGCTCCGTCGGGGCCCCAGCTGGGATTCCGTGAATGTTCAGACCCGCTGGGTCCCTTCTCCTCTCACGGAGCTTGCACTCCAGAGGCTGTAGGCCAAGATGGATGAACGGGCTGGCTCTGTGCTGATGCTGCATCCCAAATACAATGGCGATCGCTTCGGGAGGCATTAAGAAGATGCAGAAGATATTTACACACCCATGGTTGTAGCAGCATTACTCACAGTTGCTAAAAGGTAGGAGTAACCCACGTGCCCTGGGTGGATGGGTGGGTGGGTGGATGGAGCAACAAAGCGTGGTATGTATATAGACAATGGAGCGTGAGCCAGCCTCAGAAAGGAAAATTTTGACTCTTGACACAACATGGATGAATGTTGAGAACATTATGCTAAGTGAAATAAGCCAGATGCAAAAGAGCAAATACTGTGCGATCCCACCTCCACGAGAACCCGCAGCAGACACGCTCACAGAGACAAAAGTCGTGCAGGGAAGGAGAGCGCTCTGAGCCGCGTGCAGCCTTGGGGCCCGTGAGGGGACCGGCCATTGGGAACCTGCGCGCCTGTGGAGGCAGCCGGAGCCCCCTCGGACGCCTAGCACGGGTGCCGGGGCCGCTGTAACACACGCCGCGGGCCGGGTGTGCGCAGCTCAGCTCGCCTCGACCGGATCCGGATCCGGAGGCCCGCAGTCTGAGACCGAGGCACGGGCGGGGCCCGCCTCAGTCTGCCCCCGGCCCCTGGGGCTGCTGGCCTCCTGGGGGCCCCTGGGCTTGTAGACCTGTCAGCCCCTCTCTGCTTGTCTGCACATGGCCTTCTCCTTGTGTGTGTGTCTGTGTCCAAATTTCTTCTTTTACAAGGTCCCCCAACACATGGGACTAGGGCCCATCCTACTCGGCTATGGCCTCATCTTAACCAGTTACATCTCAACAACCCTGTTTCCAAATAAGGTCACGTTCCCCGTCGGGTTAGGACGTTTGGGTGTTGTAGGGTAAACGGAGGCAGTCTGACCCCTGCGCCCCGGTGTCTGGGTAGCTAAGGGAGGCGTCTCTCACAGCCTTGAAGGGGCCTCATAAAGCGATGTTCTCAGAGCCTTGTGACCGGCCCGATATCTGGCTCCGGAATGTGAAGCGAGCTCGCTTCTGCAGTCTTATGCCTGTTACCTAACAGCCTGGCCTGTTGCCACGTTGTTTTTTCTAGTACTTAAGAAGGTAGGGGCTTCTCACTGGGGGCGCAGACACAGATGCGCAGCTTGTGGCCTGCGTGGCTAGCCCACCCGTGAATAAAGGCGCGTCAGGCATCCCCAGGGCCCCGCCCGTTTTCCTCCGTCTCCCTGAGTCTTGAGTGGACCTGCCTGGCCTTGACAGGCTGCAACACAGGTGTGACTTTGGGGGAGACCCAGTTCAACCCGTAACACCACCCTCTGTCCAGTTGGAAGTGCAGGAGCTCTCGGATGGGGGAAATCGGGGGCAGCAGAGGCTCCGCGTGGGAATAGCAGGCTCAGAGAAAGTCCGAAACCACGGGAGGCACGCGCTTGGAGTCAGGTGCCGCTGGAGCCGGTGCTTCCTCGGACTGCAGGCCCCGCCCACATCTGGGCCTCGCCCCCAAAGCCCCGCCCCGCCCCGAGCCCAGGCCCCGCCCCCAGACCGGTCCCTGCAGGGCCCGGGGTCGCGGTTCTTGCGTAGGTGTCACCCCAGCCTGCCCAGGCGCCCCACGCCAGGACCCCAGTATTCCCGGAGAGCCGAGTGGGCCGAGGACGTGTCGTCGCTTTAGGATTCTGTGCCCTGCAGGGCAGCATTGCTGGGCGGACAGGCCGCCCCATCATTCCTCACGTCAGCTCGTGGACTTGGGGAGTAAACCCAGCAGCTCCGTTTTGTTAAACTGCGACCAGCTCTCTGGCCGGTTCCTTGCATCTCGCGCTGGCGGCGTCACAGTGAGCGATCCGAGACGATTCAGGGCTGGGGACACGGAGCCTCGCCACGTCGGTGTGTGGGCTGGGCTGCCGTCCTCTGCCTGGTTGGCTTCCCCAGAGCTTGCGGCGCTGGCCTCGCCTCCCGCTGCAGTCACGGTCGCGGCTGCTAGTCCTCAGCCGCCAATTGCTCTCCCGGGCGGCCCCGCCTCCGCCCCGCCCCGTCCCCACCCACCCCTTCCCGCAGTATCTGCCCTGTGGGGCCTTCTCCCGCTGCCTGCGAAGGTCTGCGCTCCCCGTCCCCCAGGGAGGTCCGCTCTACCACCAGGGATGTCTGCCGGCCACTTTGCAGCTGTCCCTGCCCTCGAAATGAAGAGGCCATTGGTGGGTGCCCTCCCAGCTGGCCCACCAGACCCTTCTCTCGGGAGCCTCCAGCACCATGGTGTCGGGGCAGCACGAGATGGTTTCATGACATCGCAGCGGGGCCTCGGCCACCCTGGCCTGGCTGTCTTCAGTGTTTGGGGGGCTCAGCAGCGGAGCCCCGCTCCGGAGTTTAATGGACCGGCAGCTACTGGTTGCTCTACATGGCTGAGGGTCCGTGGGGGGTGGGGAGAGGCCTCGGGGCCCAGGGGTCAGCCGGCACGCAGGTGGTCCCAGGACAGGGTGCAGACGCTGTCCTCAGTGGCCTGGGGTAGGATAGGTGCCGGTCCCTCTGCAGATGTTTGTCGGCCACCTGCTGCAGGCAGGCACGACCTCAAATACAGTGCATTCAGTAGAGACAGACGAGGAGATCCCTGAGGAGGGGACCAGCCCGTGGGGACAGGGAGGGTGAGGGGCGCTGCTTCGGGCAAGGTGGCCGCAGAGGCCCTGAGGAGGACGGAGTTCCACCGGGGACCCGAAAGCATGAATGAGCTGGCCCTGCCGTGCAGGTATCTGGGGACAACCGTTCTGGGCAGAGAGGGTGCCCAGTCCTTACAGGTCAGAAGCAGTGGCCTGTGTGGCTTATTCAGGGACTCGGGGTGCGACCTCCGAGCTGGCAGGAATGCGGAGAACTTGGGGGGAGGCGCCGACCCGGAGGTCGGAGTGGCAGCCAGGGTTGCGGGCATGGAGCCTGGGGAAGCCCCTGGGTGCAGAGGGAGCAGAAGGCCGACGGGCCTGACCTGGGTGTTGGGTGCAAGGCTCCGGCAGGGCCTCCCACTGTGCGGGAGACCACCCCGGGGGGGTCGGGGCGGGCGGACCGGAGGCACGGCGGGTTGGGGTCCCGGCCACCGCAATGCAGCAAATCACAGAAACGTGAGTCAGAATTGTTTTGCTGGCAGAAGGTCTGGCCTTCAATTTGTTTTTTTAAAAAAACCAACGAGCAACACCTGTGAGCGCAGTCCAGCACAGCACAGTAGCGGGGCCGCCCGGAGTTCAGGCCTGGGCCAGAGAGGCAGCGGCCGGATTGGGAGACGGTGAGCGGAGAGCCTTCGGGCCTGCTCGGTGCCCCCGCCCCGGTGTGGGCCACGGTATCGCCACCCAGCAGCTGAGGCGGACCGGCCGGGCAGCGGTCCCCCGGGTCCGCGGTGGCCACAG